TCCAGGAACAGAGGTGAGGTTGACTGGTTTGTAGTTCCCTGGATCCTCATTTTTCTCTTTTTTAATATGGGCACTGTTTGCCCCTTTTCAATCCTCTGGGACCTATCCCAATCACCATGAGTTTTCAAAGATGATGGCTGGTGGCTCTGCAATCACATCAGCCAACACCCTCTGCACCCCTTGGGTACATCCTGTCCAGCCCCATGGACTTGTATATGTCCAGCTTTTTAAAATAGTCCCTAACCTGTTCTTTCACCATGGAGGGCTCCTCACCTCATCCCCAAATTGAGGGGGATGAGGTGAGGAGTACTGCTGGGTGCAGCAGTCTGGGAGCTGACCTTGACTCTGAAGACTGAGGTGAAAAAGGTATTGAGCACTTCAGCCTTTTCTGCATCCTCTGTTACAAGGTTGCCTCCCCCATTCAGTAAGGGACCCACACTTTCCCTGACTCTCCTCTTGTTACTGACATACTTGTAGAAACCCTTCGTGTTACCCTTCACATCTCTTGATAGATGCAACTTCAGTTGTTCTTTGGCCTTCCTGACTTCATCTCTGCATGTCTGAGCGATACTCTTATACTCCTTCCTAGTTGTTTGTCCAAATTTTCACTTCTTATATACTTCCTTTTTGTGACTTAATTTACTGAAGACTTCCATACTAGCTAAGCTAATCTTCTGCCATACTTGCTAGTCTTCCTGCACAGTGTGATAGTTTGTTCTTGCATTCTCAGTAAGACTTCTGTAAAGTACAGCCAGCAATCCTGGACTTCTCTCTCCATCAGTCTGGCTTCCCAGGGGATCCTGCCCATGAGTTCCTTGAGTGAGTTGAAGTTGGCTTCTCTGAAGTCCAGAGTCCTTACGCTGATGCTCTCCATCCTTCCTTTCCTCAGGATCCTGAACTCAGTCACTTCACGGTCATTGCTGCCCAAGTTGCCATCCATTACTACATTCCCCACCAGTTCTTCCCTGTTTGTGAGAAGCAGGTCAAGAAGAGTATGGCACCTAGGTGGCCACTCCATCACTTGCATCAGGAAGTTGTCCCCAGCACACTCCAAAAACTTCCTGGGTTGCCTGTGCACTGGTGTGTTGCCCTCCTAGCTGATGTCAGGGTGATTGAAGTCCCCCATGAGAACCAGGGCTTGTGATCAGGAAACTTCCACTCCCTGTTTGAAAAAAGCCTTATCCACCACTTCCTCCTGTTTGGTGGTCTATAGCAGACTCCCACCACAACATCACCCTTGTTGCTGTCCTCTGACCCTAACCCGGAGACTTTCGGCAGGCCTATCTCCAGTTTCATACTGGAGCTGTGACCAATCATATGTCTCCTTTACATGCAATACAACTCCTCCTCCTCTTCTCCCCTGCCTGTCCTTCCTGAACAGTTTGTACCCATCCATGGCACTGCTTCAGTTATGCAAGCTATCCCATCATGTCTCTGTTTTCCAGTCGCATCATAGTTCCATGAATGCGCAAGGACTTCCAATTCTTCCTGCTTGTTTCTCAGGTGCCCTTGCATTTGTCTACAGGCACCTAAGGTAACTAGTCGATTGCCCTGAATTCTCAGGAAGAATGGGAACCTCTGCTGTTGCCCTGTCTTGCTTGCTGTTCCTCCAGGTTACCCACTTGCCCACTTACCTCAAGGCTTTGGTCTTTATCCCCTGGCAAACCCAGTTTAAAACCCACTTCACTAGGTTAGCGAGTCTTTCTTCGTCAGGTGGATCCCATTTCATCCTAGCAGTCCTTCTTCTTGGAACATTATTTCATTGTTAAAGAAGCCAAAGTCTTGCTGGTGCGACCACCTGTGCAGCTAGATGTTGATCTGCAGGATGTACCTGCTCCTGCCCAATCCCTTTCCCTTGACTGGAAGGTTCAAAGAGAACCTGAGGCCCTGCCCCCTTCACGCCTGCACCCAAAGGCCCTATTGTCACTTTTGATCTGCTCGTGGTTTCCCGTGGAAGTATTATTGGTGCCGAGTGGAAGAGCAGCATGGGGTAGTAGTCAGAGGGCTGAATGAGCCTCAGTAATCCTTCCATGACATCTTGGATCCAGCCTCTGGGCAAGCAGCAGATTTCCCAAGACAGTAGGTCATGTTGGCAGGTGGATCCCTCTGGCTCCCATGAAAGGGAGTCTCCAACCACCACTACCCATTACTTCTTGGTGGCAGTGGTCTCAGTCCTTCCCACCTCGGGGGAGGGGAGGGGCTTTGCCTGTTTTCCTCCACCAATGGAACATGCTCGTCGCCCTCTGTTGCTAGGGCTCCAAATCTATTCTTTAGACAAATTGCTACAGGTGGAGATGTAGATCTCTGCTTGCTGCCAGAGGTCACAAGCTTCCAGCTTCCACCTTCTTCGGTAGCCATGTCCTCTCCCTTCTCTAGCACTGCCTCTGGCAGTTCTTCCTCCGCAGTCCCAGAGGTCTCCTCCTGGGTGGGAATCTTGATGATGAGTTGTCTTGCCTGGATAGAAACATCACAGGAGCAAGCAGAGGCAGTGGCGGTGGCTTTGGCATTGCAAAGTCCTCCAGCCATTTCCCTAGGTCTCTTAATCTGCCTTTTCTCTCTCTCTGCCCTTCTTCCAAGCACACCTTCCTTAGTGAACTTCCCTGCAAACTGTCCTGTTTACTGTTCCTAGGTTGGTTCCTTTTCCCCTCGCTCCTCACATCAAGCTGAAAGTTTCTCTCCTCAAAAGTGTGTGTGTGGGGGTGGGGGGGAAGGGGGCCAAACTGGCCTGTGAACTGACCTGCAAAATACTTGTCCTGTTTGCTGGCTCTCCCTCTCCCTCTCTATTCCTATATGACTTAGGCAAAATCACTGTGTGCTGTCAAATAAAGGCAGGAAGCTGTCCTCATTTCCCACCTGTCTGTGCATACTGCTGCCACTCTGGTTGAGCCAGTAGTTGTTGCAGCAGCTTAAATGTTGGGTTTTATTTGTTTTTTTTTTTTTTTAATTATTAGTTAAATGGTTATAATCAATTTTTTTTTTATTACAAAATAAAGTATACTTTGATTTAAAATGCAGCATCTGAGCTCTGGCAGTTTTACTAGCAATTTGTGACCACTGCATTTGCCCCCCATGGCTAGACTGTTACACGTATAATTTACTGTGACAATGTAGTAGTCCTACATAGTGTCTGTAACTACCAATCGTGTGTGTGTGTTGTTGCTTTTCAAAAGCAGGAGAATGTTCTTGGCTCTGAAATTAATTAAACAATAAACTAGTTTTGGTTGCTGAAGTGGTGAAGCGGAAGTGTTTGCCCATAAAAGCAATTTATTATAGATATACTGCCACTTCATGAGGAGCACAACAATTTCTTACAAATGAGGAGCATGCGATTTCTCAGTTGCATGCAAATATTAAATCTGGCTCACATAAAAGTTCCTTTTTATGTAGTAATAAGATGAGCAGGATTTGGCTGTAGAAAAGTAATGAATGTGGAATTTTAAAGGTTTAGTTTTAGTTTAGTTTGGTTTTTTTTGATGAGATGGTTAAACTTTAATAGAGCAAACCAGAGTGACAGATCTCCCTTTTGAAATATCAGTGCTCTTGCTGGGTAGGCAGTTGGACAAAAGTTAAGACATGAATTGCCTAAACGTACACTTAGCTGTTTTTAGATAGCTGGTATCAAAATACTGGCAGCATAGTAATGGGTAAGCAACTAAGCAATTGCTGGATACTTTTAGGAACTTTTGGAAAGATTCATGGACAAATTAAAAGGCAAAAAGGCAGCTTAGTTGACTTGAATGACTGTATATGCTTACTTTTTGTTTATAGTTGTTTTTAGTTCCTTAGTTTTGCTTCAGTAGTGAATATCTGCATTGCACCAGTTCTTATGGGTTTGCTGGCTTTATGAGAGAGAACGAACCCCGTCTTTAACTGCTTGGTAGAGTTACTGCACAGTTGTGTGCTGTTAGAAGTCTACTTAGGATCTTCTCAAGACTGGGGTAGTGGGATTCTTAAAAGATTAGAAGGAAAACAATAATGTAATTTCATAGAAACCCTTTTACACCTGCCAAGCAGTAGTCCCAAATCCAGGGACTGTTTGCTTGTGAAGTGGCGGTGTCAGATTAGCCAGAAAGAAGCTAGCAAGGGTCAGATGCTTCTATCTGGACTTTCAGTCAGTTGGTGACTTGAATAGATCAAGTAACTGCGTGAAATGATATTTCTTAGTGTGAGCAGTAGTTGAAAGAAATGACCGTATATGAAAATGTATAAATAGGAATCTAGCAATGTGTTGAGACCTGGTTATTACAGGGCTCTTCTTGCGTCTACTTACGGATGCCTGTAGATGTGCAGGGAGGCTGCACCGACACTGTAATTACAGTGCATTGGAGCGTACTCGTTTAATCAAGTTTGCATGTTAATTAGCGTGCTCCCGCAGCCTGTGCGTCTCTTGTATCGGCATCCCCATGCTTCATAGTGGTGGCAGGGGTGCTTTAACTAAAGTTCGTCAAACAAGCTTTAGTTGAAGCACCCTCGCCGCCATTTGGAAGTGTGGGGACACTGATGCACAAGATGTTGTGGGCGTTTTAATTAGAGCAGCTCTCAGAGCCACTCTAAAGTGCTTCCTTCCTCCGCCCCCCAGCTGCACTCCCAGAGCACATTTAAAAACACCCTAAGTCTCCTGCTCATCTCAAAATTAGGTTAGCCAAAGAACTGGTATAGCTTTTCTTATCGGTTTTAAAGCGCGAAAGTAAAATCAAGGCATGTTTATAATATAGGCTGTTAATAGATTGTGTGGAATGTTTTTCAATGATCCTTTATTAAAGTTATGGGGAAAGCCATTCTAGCAGGCAAGTGTTGTTGACTGCAGAAGAAATCATTTATTGAGTTGAATAAAATACATTCCAAATGAGAGAAAATCATAGACTTGTAGGAAATTAGTGCTAGATGCAACACCATCAAGAAGTCATCTGGTGCAGCCTCCTGCTCAAGGCAGGATTCACCCCTGTCTAAATGATTCCTGGTAAGTGTCTAACCAGCTCTTAAAAAGAATCTCCAGGCAATTGATTCCAGTGCTCAGCACATTCATAGCTAGAAGATTCTTTTTAATGATCCTAATTTCCCTTGTTGCAATGTAATACCATTATTTGGCAAAAATGTGATTTGTCTTATATCTCTGGCAGATTTAGACAGTCTTTGGAACATTTAAATCACCAAGGGTATGTGCATGGAAGACCATTTCACCTGTGCTGTCATTTATTCTGTTGAAAAAAGCTACCATGACCTAACCTGTTTTTAGCACCAGGATGATTTTGATGTTTGATGTGGTGGTAAAAAAGTAGCTGTGGAAATCTCTGAACTGGGACTCTTATTAGTATTGCCAGCATTTACTCTATAGAGGGTGAGAAGTTCCTTTATGGTGGATAAGGCTCAAATTTACAAAGAAGTGTAAGCATGTTTTGTAATAGATTCCTTATCTATAATAGAGTATATCCACTGTATATACTTTTGAGAGACAGGGTTGCCTGGAAGTGAACTGTGAACTTTAAGAAAAGCAAACAAACAAAATGAAACCAAACCTCAAGCAAACTAACCTTGAGACTGGAAGTACATTAGTTGAAGAAACCTGAAAGGTTTCATTAAAGCTATTTTTCAGGCTTCTGTTTTACAGAGAATTGTAACATGTAAAATATTGTTCCCTTGGCAAGAAAAAAAACACTTTCAGTACTGTGAAATACAGCCAAGTGCAGAAAGCACACTGGGGTAAATTAACTTATGATGTGTTTATTTTATTGGTACCACAATGGCAGTACACAGAGTGAAAAACAGAATAATTTCCTAGGGATTTGAAAGGTTTAATGGAGTGGTGCCAAGGAATCCGTTTTTTTTCATTTTTTTAACATCCTCTCTGAAGTAATTTTGGCTCTGTATGCAAGTGAGTTTAGCATCCATGTCAAATGCATGATTAGTGTTATAAATAGTAATATTACTTACAGGTGGGGAAAGGGGTTGATTTTTTTTTAAAGTTCTAAGTCGTTGAAAATATGAATAAAATGGATTAATAAAGTAAGTTGCTATAAAAGAAGCCATTTCTTTGCATAAAGTGGGATATTTACTAGAAAAAAGTGTTTCAAAATACATTACTTAAAATTTATCTACTTCATCTCAGAAAACAAGCCAATGTTTAGGTCTTGGAAATGCAAAATGCATATATAATAGCTACGACTCGTCCAGTACATCTATTGCTTGCATTTTAGCAAAATGTCTGCATAGATCAGAAATATCATTTTGAAATGTGGTATTACTTACTACATTCTTTAAAGCATTTCAGAGACATTCTTCCACAATAAACCCAGTTTAAATTAAAACATGCATCTAAAATAAGATTTAACCTTTCAAGTGATCAAACTAAAACTTATTCTTTTGTTGTAGTCAGTTTACCCTTATTTAGAAAGGCTGCAAAGTATTTTAGTCTTGTTCTACATATGTAATTTCCATTGATGTCAGATGGCGTACTGCATTTAGTATATTTCCCTTAATCGCTAATAGTGCCTTATTTTTTTAATAACATTAGACCTGTTTTGACTAAAATTATATTTACAGAAAACCCAGTACCGTGTTCTGATTTGTGTTCGATCACAAACGAACTTCAGAATAGTCTTTTCCTAACTCTACTAGAGGCATTAAATAGTTCAGTTGTCTGAACTGAATCAACAGTGTTGGCAGCTTTCCAGAGCTTCAGCTTTTCCAGAGTTTCAACGTTGGAAAATTTTTAATTTGCTGTGTGTTATTGTTTATTGAGATGTCTTAGCAAAAAGCCGCCTCTGAGGATGAAAATGAAAATAGCACAGATATGATGAGTGTAAAGTACAGGTGAAATGTTGAAATATTGGCTGTAAATCACTTGTCACTGGAAATAAGCATGTTGTACTGTATATCCTGACTGGATTCTAGCTGCATTTCCCATCTTGTTTTGTATTTTAGTCTACAAAGCATTATTAAACAGTTCATAAGTTGATGTTATTTATTTGCCAGTCATAAACCTTAAAAACCTATCGATTCCCAAGCGCTTGGAAAGTAGGCAAATGGCTAATTTTAATGGGTTCACTGATGCCTTCTAGGCCCAATATTACACAGACTCTGGCTTCTAGGAAGCAGGCCTAGGTGTGAGGCTTGCTTTCTGCTATGAGTTTTGACTGACCTCACCTGTCTCCTGGATGCCTTAGGCTCTGAACTGGTAAGCGGGAGATTGGGTATTCTTGCATTTTTCTGAGCCAGAGTCTGCAGCATCTTAATGAAGGAGAGCAGGTCAGCTATTGATGGACAAGCTGGAAGCAAGGGGCTAGTTGCACATATTTTAGTGCTAGAGATACTTCAGCTAGTTATACTGAGAATGAGAGGAAGACCAGCACAGTTGGAAGAGCTTATTTCAGAGAATGGAAGGAGCCAGTCGCAAGCTAATTCAGTGCATGAATTAAAGTGGTGATGACGGAAAACAGAATTAGTGCTCTCCTCCTTAAGGCCATTTATTGAAGAAAGGAGTTGTTTGTAGGCTCCTAACTGGCTTTTTTTATATTGGTATACACCTTTAACAAAGGGATCTGAATCCATGGGTTAAAAAGGTAGGCAGAGTTCCTATCCGATGTGTTTGAAAACAGTAAGAAGAGTGTATAATCTAAGGTGGATGATTTCGATTTGTACTTACAGACTTCATTCCTTTAAAGGAAACAACTCCATTGTTTAAATTTAGTATTTTAAAAAGACCTAGAGCTGATATATCCTCTTATGATATAATTAAAACATGTCTTCTTTAAAGAGGAAACTAATTATCTTTGACTGATTAAAAGCAAGCAAACCAAACACAATTTTGCTGCTTTTGGTTGTTGCACTTGGAAAAAAAACGATCAAAGCTCCTTCATTCATTTCTTGCTTCCATTTGTTCAGCCAACAACATTGATCAAGAATAAATGCATCTTTCATTTCACCGGGCAAGAAAGAATAGACCTGGTATTCACAACTGTTTTAAATTATAAAGTTCCACTGACCTCAATAAAAGGTCTAAAATTTGATGGCATGATGAAGGTAAGAGTTGTTAGGTTTTTTAAATAATTTGGAACTAATTTGCTAAGAGCTTTAATTTTCAAAGGGACGGAAAACCGGTGCTAGAAAAAGGGGGGAAAGGTCTGGCTTAGACCTGGATTATGATGTGTCTGCCACATTGGACTACAATCAGACTGGTTATTTATTGGCAAATATGAAAGCCTTTTGATTTCCAACACAGAAGATATTGGCTACTACCATTCCTGGAGAAACTGGATCTGCTGCCAAGTGGATAATTAGTTGCTGTAAGTGAAAAACACAGTCACTCTCCTTGTTGGCTAGACAGTAGAGCTGGGTAAGCTATTTGTTACAATTCATTAGATTTGGGCTTTAGAGCTGTCATCAAAATGATTCGTAGTTTTACTTATTTATTCCTTATTCACAGCAAAAAGGTTGTGCAAGTTGTTTAGTTTTGCTGCTAAATTATTAGGCTTTCCAACATTTTATGAATTGTTCACAGCAAAGATTGAGTGTAGTCATGAATTGCTCTCTGTGGTAGACTTCCCAACCTGCAGTGCACAGTGTCTGTTTCCTGACCAGATAACTTTACCTGCAGGAACAGAAGGCATACATGAAGAAATTGAAAATGTCTAGGAGAGCACTTTAAGTTGACCTACATGGAAAGATGAAAAAAAAATTGCACAGAACATTTTACGGTGCAGATGTAGACAGTTACAAATCTCCCAGAACAGTGATTCTCAGCCAGCCTTCCACGGCACTCTGGGGTGCTGCGTGATCTTTGTAAGCACACTGCAGAACGCAGCACAATATATTAGCACTGATACAAATGCCTACATGTGATTCACAAGATAAAATTGGAGATTTCAGGTCAGAATCATAGTGTCAAAAACAGTTCTGACTTGTTGTGGTCCCTTTCAGTTTTTGAAAGACCACAACAACAGAAGAATAATAGAAAAATGGCTCTGTAATTTTTCCATCCATAGTCAAAAATGAATGAAAACTAAGAGGTGGCATTTTCTGAAGTGTGTCTTGAGTGTTGCAAGTGGTGCCTTGAGTCTTTATAAGGTTTAAGAATCACTGGGTTGGAACAGGGGTGCTTGTGAGGAGCTCTGCAGGCTGTGGTCCTGTGTGCTAGGTGCTGTACCACCCTGTGAGCTGTGCCCGATCCTGATATGTAGGGCTGGGCAGAAGTGTGGTGGTGCCCTGGAGCCCTGATCCTGGTGTCCTAAACCTGGTAGAGGCAGCACTGGGTCCCAGAGCCTCATTTCCAGCATGTGGGCTGGTCAAGGGCAGCATGCTTTGGATCCAGGCATGTGGGCTCAATCCTGGTTATTGGAGTCCAGTTTGGCCCACAGACTGGCCCTGCACCACTTACGTGGACCACAGGACCAAAAGATTGAGCACCACTGCCTAGCATGTTGTGGTAATTCTCTAGTGCCTGAATTCTTGCATGATTAGTCTTTACTCACAGAAAACAGTCTCAGAGGATGCTCCTGAGGATTGAACTAGCCATGAAAAATTGCTTTACAGCATAAAGTCCAAATTTAGTTTTCCACTAAAATAAGGTTTTGATGGGAGATTTGAGCATGCCTACTGGTGAGTAATACTTGAAACTTGTAAATTTGCCTTCTTCCATGTTTTCTCATAATTATTAAGGATAAAGAAATGAAAATGCTACCATTTGTTTCTTTTGCATGTTTTGTTTTTACTATGTGGACAAGTTGCTGCATTCTGTTGATCCTTTCCTTCATTTGTCAGTTCACAAAAGTTATAGAGGACTGCCTTAAGTTGAAAAAGGTTGACAAGCATTGACTTAAAAGCTCTGCTTCCTGTAGTCTCTTCAGAGCATCCGATTTAAGCCACTGCTTCAAAGTATGTATCCTTGATTTAGTTAGTCTGTACTATAAGATGCAAATCTACCCTGCATTCTGATAATTTTGGTCACTTGAAATATCTATGATGAAATTATAATGCTTTAAGAATTTTACGATTTGCTATGGTATTTTTCACTATGTCTGTGGGGTGGGGAACGGGGAAGGGTTGTTGAATGAAGGCATAGACAAAGCCTTATTACATTTCAGGGGATCATAGGTTAAATCCTGGCCCTTTGAGGCCATTGGGAGTTTTGCCGTTGACTTGAATGAGGCCAGTATTTTACCTTCTTTCTTCTTTCTCACTCAAAGGGTGAGAGGTTTTCCTTCAACATTTCCAATAATCCATCAACAGGTTCTACATCTCCCAAAATACAAGATTTAGTATTGTGCATTAGTTTGAGCTTGGCAGGAAATTTATCATGGTTCTTTCCCTTCCTGCCTCAAAGATTGCTTTAATGGGAAATGCCTTTTTTCTGGCCAGGGTAGCGCCATTCATGTGTAGGAAAAAAGAAACTTAGTGCCTTTTATCTATCTCTTACTTGGCCTGAGCTGACTTTAAGAATTCTCTTATGATCATACAGACTGGCAAATAGTATTAAGACAGTTCCACTCTTCTTACCTTTTCCTCTTGTGGGATGTTAGTAGCTTTTTCAGTATAGAAGTTAGATTTGTTTTAATGTCTCAGTAAATTAATGTAGGTATTAGTTTCCATGAAGCTGACTTAACTCTTACATTCTTCTGGCATTTTCTTAACATCTTTATACTGCTAGACTTGAACTTAATATTTGGGAGTCTTAGTTTTTCTGCATCTCACCTAATTATTTTGCTTGCTGATGAATGCTGCAGGCACCAGCCTAGAATCATATTCACAGATTCATAGAAGTTCAGGGCTGGAAGGGAACTTGCAAGATCATCGGGTCCAGTCTCCCTGCTCTGGGCAGGAAAGACTGCTGGGGTCAAATAACCTCAACAAGGTGTGCATCCTTTTGAAGATCTCCAGGATAGGTGCCTGCACCACACCTGCTGGGAGTCTATTCCAGAGTCTGGTCATGTGAACCATGAAGAAGTTTTTCCTTGTATCCAGTCTGAAACCTCCTTCTAAGAGTTTGAGTCTTGCTTCTGGTTTTCCCCTGTGGAACTTTGGTGAATAGTTGTTCACCTAGCCCCTGGTGTTCTCCCCTGATATATTTGTAAGCTGCCACCAAATACCCCTGAAGTCTTCTCTTTTCTAGACTGAAGAGTCCCATATCTATCAGCCTTTCCTTGTATGGCTTGCTCTTCAGGCCTGTAATCGTACAAGTGGCTTTTCTCTGGACTCTCTCAAGCTTCTCCACATCTTTCCTGAAGTGTGGTGCCCAGACCTGGACGCAGCACTCCAGCTATGGTCTCACCAATGCTGAGTAGAGCAGGAGAATAACTTGCTTAGTTTTGCTTGAGATGCGTCAGTTAATGCATGCCAGCATATTGTTTGCTTTACTTACTGTAGCATCACAGTGGTGGCTCATATTCATTTTATGGTCAATTATGACCCCCGGGTCCCCTTTGGATGTGGTGCTAGCTAGCGTAGCACCACCAAGCCTGTAAATTTGTTGCAGATTTTTCTTCCCCAGATGGAGAATTTTATATTTCTCAGTGTTGAACAGAATCGGTTCTGGTCCACCCACCTAACTAATCTATCTAGATCTGCCTGGATCATCCTGAGGCATGGCCGCACTTCCCCAAAGCTTAGTGTTATCGGCGAACTTTGCCAGTAAGCTTTTCACCCCAGCATCCAGATCATTGATGATGAAGATGTTGAAAACCACTGGTCCAAGTACCAAACCCTGGGAGGACCCACTGGTTACCTTCCACCAGGTCAACACAGGTCCATCTATTAGTACTCTCTGGGTCTGACCCCACAGCCAGTTTCCCACCCATCTGACCATTGAATTGTTAAGCCCATAGTCCCCTAGTTTTACCTTGAGAGCCTCATGGAACACCAAGTCAAAGGCCTTCCTAAAGTCTAAGTAAATGACGTTGACCTCATCTCTCTTATCCATGTGGGGAATAACTTGGTCATAGAAGGAGGTGAGGGTAATCAGATATGACCTGCCAGTGACAAAACTGTGCTGGCTGTCATTAAGAATTTTGCCTTCTACTAACTTATCACATATGGACTCCATCTACAAGTAGAACCGTCCATGACAATATGCTAGTGCTTCTGCCCCAGGAGACTCATCCCCTTAGGAATCAGTACTATAATTAATTACACAACTGCATACCATTTAGCAAATAATATCTTATAGTTTCAGACAGATTTTTTTCTGACATTTAAGTGCTGAAAAATGCAGTCTAATGTGTTTTTAACAGTAAACCCAATAAAAAAATGTATACAGAATGTTTTTCCCCACAAAGAAAGTTTGCCATAAAAATGGAGCTTTTGACAATAAAATCTGTTTGAAATTTTCTGCAAGTGTTTTGATGGAAGTGTCTGTAGCACTTGTCAAGGATTTCTTGCTTATGAAAAATGTTCTTTCTCCAAATAAAAAATGGTCGATCATGATATCGAACATATTTAATGCAAAAATTTTTTATAAGATATCACCAGAACCTTGAAAAATAAAAAAAAAACAGCCTCATTTCAAACCATGGGAAATTGAAGTAGTTTCAAAATATTCCACAATAGTTCTGTTTGTTTTTCATTTTTAACTAACGATAATTTGCCCTATGTGAAATTTCTTGCTTAAACATGAACAGGATTTCACTCTCAAACTTTTAAACCCATTTGGCTTAATTGAATAGGACTATATAAATGTCATTTTTCTTCCTTTTTTGATTGTTCTTCAAACTAAAATATAGATTAATTTAAAAAAAAATCCTGAAAGAGTGCTTTTGCTTTTGTTAGAAACCAAGGGCATTGATAAAATGCTATATTTACTTGAATATAAGATGAAATTTCTTTCCCCAATCAGCATGGAGAAAAAATCCCTTTATCTTACATTTACATACAAGCAAACCGTATTAAATACATTGTCTATTACTAAACTGCTACCATAAGCAGCATGTGCCCAGTAATGGAAAGGAACTATGAAGTTGACTAAATGCAGCGAACGCTGACTATGATTTAGAGGACACATGGCCCATATTGGGCAAACATTCTGATGGGAACTACCACAAGGATAGGTTAGTGCAGCCCATCTGAATAAGATATAAGGTAGTGTCCAATGTGTGCAGTCCTTCTCAGTGCCAACTCTTTTTCAGGTCTTGGTGAACCACCACACTGAATACATTTTGACTTCCTCTTCAATTCTACAGCTGAGCTGTGCCTTCCTTTCCTATTTCTAATGATTCTTGTTTCTTCAGCAGCCTTAAATATCTGGGAAATACTACCAAATGGGGCTCCAAGTATTTTGCCTAGGTAGAATCCTTGTGTTTCCCTCTGTCTCTGTTTGTGGTATATGATTAGGTAGCCCTACTCTTCATGAGGTGGAGCTAGACCAGGTGGCCCTGCACCTCATACGTATATACATTTTTGGAGGATCCCAGGACTTGTGACAAGAATATCCAGTTCTAGTGATGAGTGGGGGCCTAATTAGCACATGGATCCTTTGTAGGGGGTGTGAGCACATGTGCACCTCCAACCTATTGCCATGCTGGAATACCAGTGATCTTCCTCTTGTCCTCCCACTCTCCTGCCAAGCCTTGATGGTAAAATTCTTTCAGGAGGATGGATGGTTCTTTGGGGCAAAGGTCAGTCTGGCAGGGTCACTGGTCTTCTGCAGAGGTCCACTTCCCCTACACCCTTTCCCTTTCCACTCAGGCTGGTGGTAGAAAATCTCCATTGATCCAGAGTGGGGAATGCCTAGTAAAATTCCTTCTTGGGTTGGGTTTCACTGACCCTTTTTAGTCTATAGTTCCATGGCCTCTTCATCTTCTGGCTGAATCTGTCCCTGGTTTTAGGTCATCAGGTTATACCCACACATGACCGTCTCTCCATTCTTTCTTTTTTTCATTGCTCATGCACCTTCCTTCTTAGAACTCAAAATTTCTGTAACTAGTTCTTGGATCAATGTATTTAACTTTTCCATCTTTTCTCAGCCTTACTTCAGGCCCCATTCTCTTTGGAGGCTACCAGGTGCTGAGCGTAGAGCCCTGTATAACCACAAGTCAATCCACGGGGGATCCTTCTCTGCAGTTGCCCTTCATTTACACAGGTAAAGTAAACTATGAAGAATTTCTTAATCCTGGCCTTCAATGCATTTACCAAAAAAAAAAAAAAAAAAAAATCACTCGTTATTTTACCAACCTTATGGTTCAATTAGGCTGTTACCATCAAGCTCACACCCTGCTTTCTTTTCCCAGGCATACAGTGTAAATCCCTCCTCTGCTCATGCCATCTCAGTTTCCCTCCAGACCTTGTTCCTCTTATTGGGTCTGTACTCTCCCTTTTTCCTGCTGGGTTCTGCTGGCCGTCTCATGGGAATATCTGCCTCCTGGTCCCAGTTCTAGGAGTTTGCTGAGACACCCCACATTGCCCTGCCATCCACTTCTACTTATTTTTCATGGAAGGCAGGTGGCATCCGCGCTCGTGCCTCATCAGGGATCGGATGACTCAAGGGGGTTCGGCTGCTTGGGATCTTTCCTGGTTTTCACAGCTCCTGGTTTCACTGTATTGTTCCTGCTCTGAGGAATGCCAAATGCTGAATCTTTCTTTGGTGTCTTCGTTTAAAATACCTGGTCTCCTCTGCGGGCCAATCAGCACAGGCTCCCTGGGACACATGTTCTCATGCCCCTGGGGACCACTTGTTTCTCAGGCTTTCCCTGGACCCTCTTCCCCAGCATACCAGGGACAAGCTGCTCTCCTGGGCCCATCCCAGGAGGTCTCATGCTGGCTTTGCCAGCTTCATGGGAGTATAGCAGGGGCTTGACCACAGCCCCTGCTACAGGAGGTATCTGGTGTACACATACATACTGAGCAGTGCTAAGCTGTTGGTTCATCATGGCTTGAAACTGTTGACTCTGAGGGTTCCAGCCCAATAAACTATATGTCAAATAATGGGCCTTTTGTCTTTGGACTAATATCATGCGTAGTTTGTACAAAAAAAGTTTGTACTACATATAAATAGGTTAAAAAGTGCTGCTTAAAAGTATATTTATAGAATTCCTGTGCAGTAGTTTAAAAAGATGCAAAATGCATCAATTCTGTATGAAATAAGTGTATGGGTACCCATACTAATTTACTAGAGGTGCGCTAATACATCAGTCCATATAGTATTGGCACCGATAAAAGGAAATATTACATTATTGGCAATTACCTTTTTTTTTTGGCTGATGTTTCCAATAATGTCACTGATAAATGCCACATGTATGTATGTATGTATGTATGTATGCAGCTGCAACATGCATGCGGCCAGGAGAACAGAGTCTGGCTGGTAAATCTGTGGGGGAAAAGGAGCATGAGGGGGGAAGATCAAGCCCCTCACAGGGAGGGAGGGAGTAGGTCTGGGGCAGGGGCAGCCACTGCCCATCTGGCTTAGTCGGGGAGGACATGGGTGTGTGTGGGAGGGCAGCTCCTCCCTTCCTCACCATGGGGGCCTAGATCTGCCCCCCGATGCCCTTTCCTCCCAACAGACTTAACAGCCAGATGCTGCTCTCCACGCTGCTGGGCTGCATATCAGAATCAGATAGGTATTGGCCAATATGGCTGGTCAATAATTGGCCATTGGTATTGGCCCAAAAAATCTTTATCGGTGCACCCCTATAATTTACTATATGCAAATTCCTACAGGTCAGTGTTTTCAAATTTGTCCATCACTTCCATGTACTCAGGGAAAGCAGCGACTTGCAGTAAGGAGGGTGGAGGTAGGGGAGAAGAAGCTGCAGAGATGAGAAGTTGGGAGGCAAAGGGCAAGTAAGCTACCTAACTCCCCAGTTTTATTCTTCCTGCTATAGCAGTGGGAGGAGGGTAAGTTGAAGGCACACCTCCAAAAATTAGATTCTATATCTCCAAAAGTGTAACAAATTTATACATTTTCCAGATATGGAATCTAATTATTAGGAGGTTGTCATATTCAGGGTTATCTTATACTTGAATAAATATGATAGTATCAGCTCGAGAAAATAGTAAGCATTTTTATGTTGAACACATTGGTCACCATTCTCAAAGCAAACAGCTTAGTATCTAAGGGGAAATAGGTCAGCATTTACACCTCTAAAATTGGGACACTCCTTCATGTATCCTTTCTTGAGCATTCAATTTGAAAATTTAAGGCATTAATTCTTAAACTTTTTGCAAAGAATAGCTAAATGTTTAATTTCTTACTCCAAGTCTGCTAAATGTCTCTCATTGAACCTCATCATAACAAAATATGTATGAATTATTTTTCTTACTCTGTTGTAAATGAAGTCTCTTACAGCGTGTGCTTTAAATTGTAGACGTAAACAGTTTAAGGTTTCCAGTGTTATACATCAAGGTGCTATAGAGAAATATATAAGGTAGGTTTAAGAATTTAGATTTCTACCACACTGGATCGTTGGTAGACCCTTTCGTCTACACTGAGTCAATTCAAAGGCTCCTCAAAGTGTAAGTAAGTGGAAACTTAGGCCATATGTTTTGTTCTGATGCTTATTGTTCATTTTTCTTCTTTTCATGTCGATGAAGATCAGATTCTGATAACATATGCTCTTCTGCTCAAGTTCATACTGATCACCACATTTGGGATCAGGGAGGAAATTTTTCCTATAGTCAGATTAGCATGGTTTGTGAGCTTTTTTGCTTTCCTCAGAGGATGGGGTTGTGGGGAGAGAGGGGTACCATGATCTTCTTCCTTGGACCTCTTGAGCTACTACTACTTCCTGTTCTTGCAGCGGCAGGGCGTTGACAGTGCCCTTGTCCCATTACTTTGCCTGTAGCAAGATTTCATAGTTTTTGAGAAAAGGTTAGACCCTTCATTCTCAACCACAGCGCCATGAGATCCTAGGTGTGCCAACACGTCTACACTGTTCCCAAGACAAATCCAGAGATTTCAAATAGGAATTCATAGTGTAAAAAACATTCTGATCTGTTGTAGTCTTCCTGAGGTCTTTGCAACAGAAGAATTGCTCTATTATTTTTCCGTGGTCAAAAATGAATGGAAACTAAGAACTGGCATTTTCTGAGGGGTGCCTTGAGTCTGAAAAGCTTGAAAACCCCTGGACTAGACAAACATTTGTATTTACGATAGGGAAGAGCGTGGGGTTGGACTAGATAAACTCCTGAGGTCCTTTCCTATGATTCTACAAATCCCAAACCATATAATTAATTTTCGGCAAGGTGGAATTAATTATATTCTATTGTAACATTTTAGAACACCCAGAGGATATTCTAAAAAAATGTTTAGTGCCACATAAGAACTTACTGTTCAGTTCAAATAGCATTTTTTCACTAAAAAAATATGCTTGAGATTAATATATTTCTTTTTCTAATGAGAAATATTGCAGAGATCACCACTGTCATTTGAAGCCTGAAAAGTCATCCTAAACTTAAATAAAAACAGCTTAATTGTAACCTGTAATATAAGTCTGCTTATCAGTTGAATGCAGACTATGAGTAATTAGAGTTCAGATGTGTAAAAATCATTTATACGGCAAGATTTAAAAAGAAATATCCACTTTGTGGAAACACGTAGGCTACTATACATTTTTCAATTCAGCATTTAGCAGTCTACCCAAATATCCAGCTTAAATCATATTTTCTTCAGCGGTGACATATTGAGCCTAGTTTTGCTTTATTTGAATATGATTTAATATCTTATAAAATAATTAATATTCCCAAAGTATTATCCCGTGCTTTCTTCAAATACATATCCCAGCAATATCATCCTTTGATCTTTTTATGTTTGCATCTTTGGAATGTGCATCCTTACAAATCTCCATTTCATATGAATATTCATCAGGTACCAAAAATGAGTGCAATCTCATAATTACTATTATTAAAATAGTTATTATTGGCAAAGGAAAGAGCTGACACACCCTATTCATTCTTGGGTGTGACAAGATGAACATGATGAGTGATGCTGATCGCCAAAGAAGAAGAACATGTAGCAGTTGTATCAGTTTTGCACCCTACGATCCAAAATTAAGTATATTTAGTGAGATCTGTATAAGTTTTCCTACTGAGATTTTTTAGAAAGAATGGAATGAGACACCCTTCCCCCCCTTCCAAATAAAGATTAGTCATTAAAAATGTTTCTTAAACTGTTAGCAGCTGTCCTAGAAATAGAACAGAACCAGGCATTACAAATAAAAGGAAAGACTATATACTGGTTAAAATGTGGTGTATAGAATAGTGGCCTGAATCCAATAATGCTAAGATCTGTCTTGGCTTGCAAGATGTTTAAAATACTGCTGTGATATAATAACTGCAATAAATAAATAGTTTGACTGTTTATTTAATGAAATGCTAACTGCAGATGGAACTGCAGCTAAAAACTACAATGGAAACTTTTCTTCTATCTGTTAACTATTTTAGGCCTCATACAGACTTCATTTTCTCCTGGGATAGTGGCTAGTCTCCCAGGAAAAATCACTAGTGTACAAACGTTCAGGCTTTTTATCCCAGAGTAAAAATGGCTTTTCCAGGAGAAAAATACCCTCGGAACAACCAAGATTAAACCACTCCCAGGAGAGTTTCTCCTCGGAGAGCAAATATCTACATGCTGTGGCTTCTCTCAGACGAGAGCATGTTCCTCCAGCATCCCTGCCCTCCTCCTCCTTCCCTATTCCAGGAGACAGTGTGTTGTTGCTTGTTGGATTCTGCTGCTCTAGCAAGGAGCAGACCATGCCTTCTTTACAGTCCCTACAAGCTGACCATGGACAATCTGGGTCAGCCAATCAAGGCACCCCTGTGCACGGCTGCCATCAGTCACCAGACATTCTAAGGGAGCCTGCAGAGCATGCTGTCATAATAGGAACCTAATATAAATCAAGTGTATAGCCATATCCCTGCTCCCTCCCCTCAATGCACAGTGTCAGCATCTGGAACTCTTCACTCTTCAGGGCCTTGGCATTTGAATGTCTGTATATGTGGCTCTGGGTAAGTTTTTCTACTAGGTAAACAAAAACTGGGAGAATTCTTCCAGATTATTTGAATATGTGTA